GCAGACTCCGGCCTGCTTCATGTCCCCACCTCGCCCACCCCACTATTGGCGGGCGGGCCTTCTGCCACTCTGCCTCTACGTTCTGGAACTCCATCCCACAGTCCCTCTGCCTCACCACCTCCCTTTCCTCCTTCAAGACCCATCTCAAGACCCTCCTCTTCGACCATGCTTTTGATCACCCTCCCCAATCACGACCCCCAGCTCGGGTCCGAAACTCTGTCCAGCGCCTTGGCATGTCCTCCCGATGTGAAAGGCCTATACAAATGTAATTTTGTTGTTGCTGTTGTTGTCTCCCAACAAAGCACGAAAATGATCCATAATTCATCGTGGGTTGTAATTCAGTTCCTGTTCATGTCATTATGCTAATTTTATGAATTTATCATTTACAAACCCCCTAGATGGTGCTCACTTTGTTCGAATGAGCATCATTCAGTCACATTGTTTACAGCCTGTTTACAACACAGCAACTTGATTTCTAATTTAAATCACAAAAATCACACTAAGTCAAGGCAATTCACTGGTTTCAAAATTGCAAAAGCCATTCAGTCAGATGATATGAGAGGATTGGATTAAGCCCATTCAGCCCATTTCATCTAATTTTCCCAGAAAAAAAACTCTTCTGTCTTCTCAGTGCAGCATCCAACCATTTGCTCAGTGACCTGGTCTCAACCAATTCTGTGGTTAATGTTTCCAACTTTTGACAATCCGTGATGTAAAGAATGTTTCCTGATGCCTATTCTAAAATTATCCTCAACAATCTTTGCCCTGATTCTGTTGTCTCCACATACCTGAAGTATAGGTCTTTTTAAGTGTCACATACAGTTTGAGGCTGCATGTCAATTGAGAATTGAGGAAAGATGGAAACAGTTTAGTTTGTTTACTTAAATAGAACAAGATCTACAGGATTTCATATCATTTAAGATACCCACAGAATCTCTCAAATTAGACACCCAACTCCCCATCATGTAACCATGTTCCATGCTAAAGCACAAAAGCATATCAAGTTTCAGAACCTCAACATACTAATCTTTTATGCAAAGCTTTCTGTTCCTTTCATATAACACTGTTGCTGTAGCTAATTTGATCCCTTGAATCCCTCCACTTCCAGTCAGCTGTTGTGCAAACACTTTCAAAATGCAAAACCACAAATGGATTCAGTGTAGAGACATCAAAACAGTGCTTGGAGAAATCTTAACACTGCTCTGAAAAAAAAGCAATATAATTTTCAACATTGCATAACATCACAACCACTCTTTAGTCACAATAGGAAGATACCATATCTATACACACAGGAAGTATTAGGATTAGCACATAAAATGAGGTTTTTGAATGAATGTACAGGGGAAAATGGCTTAATGTTCGACTGCACAAAAAGACTCCAATAGATGTACAAGTAGGTCATGTTTACGCTTCAATCAACATCTGCTATTAATCTATTTCGCAGTCAACTAATTAAAACATGCATATGTTTAAATTTAAATTATTTTCATGGAAGGGCTGTCATTGCTGAGATTGTTAAGCTCAAACTGTCACCAATATCAAAATATCAATAATAATAATCATAATAATATTGCATTTGATATAGCCCCTTATCACTCAGAATATATTGTGAATTGAATGTATATTTTGTGGGCAAAAGGGGCAGCCAATTGTGCACACCAGTGTCACAAACAGTTGTGGATTGAGTAACAAAATTATTATTCTTTTCAAGGGATTATTCCCCCCGGAAAAGTGATCCACCAATTCCAACTGACAACCAGGTTTCTACTTACTGCTAAGTATACAGAGGCGTGTGGAATAAGGAAACTTACCCAACATTTTGCTCTGTCCGGGAATCGAACCCAGGTCCTCTCACTTGTGAGGCAAAGTGCTCTCACCACTGAGCTACAAGATTCCACAATCCACAAGGAAGACAATAACATGCATAATTTCAAAGCTCAGACAACATCTAGCCCAAAGATCACATTTTTTCCCATTCCTTGGCCCTTCCCTGCCTCCTTACTCCTCAATCCACCACCCGGCGCCTCCGCTCGACTGGCACCGGCCTCCTGCTTGTCTCTTGCACCCTCCGCCCCACCATTGGAGGTCGCGCTTTCAGCCACAATGCCCCGAAACTCTGGAACACTCTCCCTCAATCCCTCCGCCTTGCCCCCTCTCTCAAGTCACGTCTGAAAACTTTCCTCTTCAACTGTGCTTACGGCCACCTCCCCCCTCCTCAGAGTCAGGTTCCACCACTGTTAAGCGCTCTGAGACTCTACCCTGCATGGAGGGTGCTATACAAGTGCAAGCTGTTGTTTTTTTAAAAAAAACTCAAATAAACAACTTGCTAAAATTGTCTGCTTGGGATTGGATCAAATTGTCATCCAAGTGTCACTGATTTAGACTTTTTGTAACTTGAAATACGTCTGATAAATACTGGACCCATTGACTAAAGTGTTTTTTTGAATCACTGGGATAGTGTTCTGACTGCAAATCCAAATTGTACAATGATATTTAAAGGATATACACAGAGAAACATTTGGAGATGTACCCATTGTATCCATGTTTAAGAGATTCCAGATGAAACATTATACTGTTAAAGGCTGATAAAACAATTGCACAAAAATTGATTCTCGTTGAGAACTTAACTTGGTATAACATTGGGACGGACCACAGTCAACAAAGGGTTAAGTCCCAAAGATGCAACTAGACAAATATTCCAGCTCTTCAGCTCTTTGAAGCAATGTATTCGAATCCCACTTTTCTCTTTCTCTACAATTTTTTCATTTCTTAATTTCTTCTGTACTTTATCAATTCCTTTTTAAATCTTTTTTGACTTGGCTTTCAGAGCTACTCGGTGGTATTCCATATCTCAGAAAGTGTTTAAAATATTTCCTCTAAACTCTTGTGATCAGGTCACAAAATGTATACAACTGGTTTGATCTCGGAAAGAAAAAAAAAGCGGAAGTAATTCAGCTTGGAATGCAAAATCTTACACTAAAACACTATAAAAGTAGAAAGTTAATAGCTATTATTAGATGTACAATTTTAACTTGCTTTCGTTGTACAGCAGAAATTGAAAAAAACACCAACAACTCGATTCTATTGAATTAATTCAGTTCCACAAATTCCTGAGAAACAATTTTATGACACAATGTGAAACTAAGACCAGCGAACAGAAACACATTCAATGAACAGGCAGTTTTTAAGACTTGTCTTTCTATCGCCTCAAAGGGACACCTATTGCTTTGAAACTGTATGGAAGATGCTTGATGCAAACGCAGTTCAATCCCCCAATCTAGCAAGATCTGTGCTTGAATTTAGATCTTGAATTTAACAAAATCATTCTTATCAGTATAGTGGCCTCTTCCAGAACAATGAACTCACCAACAAATTAGTCAATCGACAATCAGTTCATCTTCAACAAACATAATATGGACGAGACTACAAGGTTTCTACTGAATCAAAAAATTAACAACCACTGAAATTGTTTCTCTCAATAGTGATTCAAACATTGAAAATTAGAACAATAACCTTAGATCGAAGCAGAATATCTGTAAATGGATGGAGTAGATGGCCAGTTTCTTCAAAAGCATTGTGATCTAACCTAATCCTGTTAACAATGGACTGTTGAAAGCCTAAGTGGCATTAAAAATGTATCAACTATTTTTCTCTGCCACCATCACTTTGACTGACGGATGAATTGAAGCGAAGACTCTGGCCCTTGAGGAGGCTGGAGGCTGTGAGTGCAATCATGCAAACATGAATTTAAAAAAGTCAGAAAGTGTTCACCTGTTGGAAAAATAGATTAGTAAAGAAATGAGGAAACCCGTGACCACAAACAAAAACTGCATTAAGTTAAGGAATAAACAAAAAGCTAAAAGCAGCGAATGGCAATTTGTGAGAATTCAGGACCTCCAGAGAACACAGCAATAAAATATTTTTTTCCCCACTCATACCAATGATATTTTTCTATGTCTGAGAAATGCAATAAATCTGAAAGTACATTTTATGCCAAAAGGCTTATGAGCTGTCAATTGCTTCCTTGTCATTTGGCCAGCCCTAAAAGTGTGAACCCAGAGACAACAGGGTTTTATTTACTGCATGCATTTTGTCGTGGAGCAGTGGGGCAAAGGTTCAATTTCCCGAGCGAAGTAAAGGATCCGTGTTTCCTTGTTGCAACATGTCAGCAACAGTGGGGAAGCTCTGGCAAATGAAAAATACAGCACTGTGCAGACCTCCCAAATCACTGTCAATGTATTAATTTGCACAAGGTATTCAGTTGCCTCTGTGCTAAAATAATAATCCTTACATTTGATATAGCACCTTTCATGTTGGGAGGACATCTCAAAGAGCTCCTGCAAAGTGTATTATTCACTGTACTTGTGGGTGAACGTGGCAGCCAATTCGCACACAGCAACAACCCACAAACATCCATGAAATTAAGGACCGATTTTTTCATGGGGAAGGTTGGATAGCAAAGATAACAGGTCAGAATGGAGTAGACAAAAGAAACCTTTACTAATTTAAATGTCACTGAATTTGGTCTCAGCAGGGCGTAGCTCCTCCATGTAGAGAAAAAAAACAATTCACTCTTCTGCGTAATGTCCAAAAGTAATTTCTGTATAAAATAAGAAAATCTTCCGAGCCTCAACATCCTTCAATGAGTGTTCATATTTGATGAGTTTACTTTAACACAATGTATGCAACATGGCTGAATGGCTTTTCTCAAACACCGCCAGAACTCTAAATTAATGCACAGCTTGAAGTGTTGAATGAAAGCATTTCTGATATGACAAATCATTCATGCATCCTCAACACAACTGCTTCTGTTTGTCAGCCACAAAATCTTTAATTATTGAGCTCCATAAATGGCTGTGCACACATTAAAAAAGAGGGAAAGCAAAGCATAACTGAATTAACTTACAGTAACTGGTTATGGCATGTTGTGGGGAAAAATATTTAGAGTTATTCCACTGTAATTGAGCGTGCATGCCTGTCTTTGTTGGTAAAATACTCACATGCTGCTTGGAGTGGATCTTGTAGGTCGTCCAGGGTGGCTTTTCGAGGTGGTGATGCTGACTGGTGGCTTTCCTTGGGATGGGCTAATGGGGAAAGGGTGCAAGTAATGAGGCATAGGAAAGTATTTAAACAGCAGTAATATTTTTGCTGCCCAAAACAGACTCCTGTCAGAACTGTGTTGCTACGCATAAGCATGCTAAATTAAACCAAATCTAGCTAAGAACATGACAGAGCTTGCCTGACAACTGATGTGTTGCAACTTGGCATTCGCTTCCCTGGTTTGGAGATTCAATAAATAATATAAAATATAAGTCCTCCCATTTGATTTTGCACTTTATCATGTTGAAACATCTCAAACGGTCTTGCTCCCCGTTACCTCTCCGCCCTCCTAACCCCTACCACGCTGTTCGCTCCAGCCTGCTTCACGTCCTCCGCCTTGCTCACCCCGCTATCGGCGGGTGGGCCTTCCGCCACTCTGCACCCACCCACTGGAACTCCATCCTGCAGTCCCTCCATCTCGGCCCCTCCCTCACCACCTTCAAGACCCACCTCAAAACCCTCCTTTTCGACAATTCTTTCGATCTCCCTGCTTCCCGCCCTGCCCTCCCCACTCCGACCCTCAGCTCGGGTCCGTAGCTCTGTCTGTCCAGCACCTTGGGACATCCTCCTGATATGAAAGGCGCTATACAAATTTAATTTTGTTGTCACTTTTTCTGGCAAGTATAGCCAGTATCTGTAGCTAAATCGTATTTATGTTTATCTTTACTTTCATTTTCAAACAAAGTTTAAAAGGCAGAAGTCGCTGGGAACAAAGTTTAAGAGGTTCTTGGTGTGCAATTTTTCTGAGTTGCATGATAGGTAATCATTGGTGCTCTAGAATTATCTTTGGTCAGTTTGGCCAACCTGGAGTTTTATCTTTCAGAATAGACAGAGAAATATCATCTTCCACATTCTTTTACAACATCATTTTAAAATGGCAAACACAAAAATGAAGGATGTAAATGGCAGTGCAATTAAAAATAACTAAAGTGAATATAATTCCAGTAACTGAAATGAGCTCAACTCGTTGTTCAAGAATTATGCACACACACTGGAAAGGCCAAATGTTCAAGCAAGTTACTCATCTCACTCAGGGCATAAAGGGGCAGTATGATTCTTCTCTGCATTCCTGCTTTTTTTTTTTGGTCGGTCGAGTGTCTGAAACCCATCACCGTGCCTTCGAGTATCCAAACCAAACAGAGTTCCAATGCATCCCACCTATACATGGAAATTCCAGGTATGTTTATTGGAATGGAATGCGCACTCTCTCTCTGGAGGGTCACATCAAGGAGGGCAAAGAATAAAGAGTTCCTGCTTTTTATCTATACAGTGCTTAATAACTTGTTCTGGAAAGCAGCAGGACATTGAGTGAGGATAGGTTTGGCACGAAACTTAGTTTTTACTACCATCTTCAAGTTGATCTGTGCACTTATACAGAAAGACAGTCACCTTGAGAAATGCACCACAGACAGAGTGCCAATAGAACTAGATCCCTTCACAAGTTACCATCTTGAGGAAAGGTAGGACACAGACCTTTATTTCATATTCTGAATGGCAGAAATTGGGCACAAAGGGAAGAGATTGGGGGTGGCTGTTGAACCAGGTGCAGAGATCCCCCATTTCGGATTCACAAACTTTGCTTCAAAAAAAACTTTGCTTCTATTCATTTTAGATTTTCTTTTGGTGGGGAGGGAAGAGAAGAGGGGCACACAGCATTATTTCTGTTGCAGTAATACAATAATAGTTAATATACACAACAAAATTGGAAGATGCTAGAATTTTTTATCATGTATGTATAAATGTCAGCTGTTCTGTAATTCCCCAAATTTAATTGGGGTTATGCTTAGCTCCGATAGTAAATATCACACTTTAAACAAGTCTGTCAGAATAAAAATATTTTCTCAAGAGCTTTTCTTCTGAGTGCAATAGACTTTGATCTTTAAATAGTAAACTCTTCACCATCATTAATAATGCATAAATAAAGTTCAGTGTTACAAACCTTTAATCTAGTTTTATCTAACTTTCGTTAATTGCCGAAATATAAATCAACTTAAAGGGCTAGCCATGAGAAAAATTGCTTTCCAATTTGGGGGTGGGGGGAGAGAAAGAATTGTTGCAACTATGTCAAAGTGAAGGATGCCAGTTTGGGGAAAAGAACCATGTTGATAGTTCTTGGCTGAGGCACCAACTGTAAGCATCAGAGCAAAAAGGTCGTCCTGACTGAACAGACAACATACCTCGTTCCAAGTAGACCAGCTCGAGTGGTCCCAGCAGATATATATTGTAAAGTGGATCAACTGTGTATTCTGTGGGAAAAATGCAGCAGCAAATTGCGCACAGCAGTGTCCCAGTCGTGGATTGAAACACCACTTTTTTTTGAGGGATTATTACCCCCGGAAAGTGATCCACCAATCAGTTAGCAACCAGGTTTCTACTTACTGCTAGGTAAGCAGAGGTGGGTAGGATAAGGAAACTTGCCTAAGTTTTCGCCCTACCCAGGAATCGAATCTGGGTCCTCTCGCTTGCGAGGCGAGCACGCTAACCACAATGTTATGGGACTCTGGTTTCCTCAATATCAACCACTGTGACTCACCTGTGATCTGGCCTGATTTTTTGATTCCTTGTCACTAAAATCTATGTGCCCATAACCACCAAGATCTTACATGCGAAAGCAAGCTCAATTCACTTAAGCCCCTATATAGCTACAAGCAGTTGGGTTGGGGGGGTGGGGGGAGGGGGAAGACTCAAGCTGTTAAAAATGAAAGAAGTCTGCAAATCCTTGTTCTTGATGAATATTACTGCATATTGATAAGACATCTCAAAGATCAATGCTCAACTTGCTACTCACTCCTGCTCCAATTTATATGCACATATCCCAAAGTCAAAGCTCATCAACTCCATAATTTAAAGACTACAAGAAGCAGATTTCCTCCAAGAAACATTAAAAGACCAAAGGTTTTGGCTTACTTGCATAGAAATTTGTGTTATGAAATCAGTTGAATTCTTTAAACTTGCTACACTCTCCTTTTCAGATCACATCCTTTATTTAATGACTTAAGTTTTCTTTAGATCACAGGCACAAGTTTAACATTCCAATGCATAATGTATTGCTTGGAAGTCCAATGTAGTTTGAGAATTCAAAGACATCAAATAATACAAAATAAAAAACAAAATGCTATGAAGTTGGTATTTCACAGAACTCTAAAACCAATTCACTAATTAGCCCAATTTTGCACAGCACATTTTCCCCCAAACCCCAAGCTGTTCATTCCAACTGAAGACTAATGGAGGTTAAATGCAATCTACACATGCAATTTGGCTATTCAATCTTCATTCAAAAGGTGCATTCCAAAATAAAAGCTTCCTATTCAAAGCCTTCAATAAAATACATTCACCGGTTTTTCATTTTATTGGCCAACTGAATCACTCGTATGAGAACAAAAAACAATCATACCCAAAGAGGCTGCAAATCAACTCACCAAACTCAACTAGCATTCCTGTTTCTAAAACCATATTTACGAGTGCATTCTTGTGCTCATGAAATGGGTAAACATGGCTTGGATCAAACATTTGGTGATCAGTGTAATCAAAAATAAGACACAAAGCAACATCATCAGAAAAATACTGGCAAAAGGCTGAGAATGGAAGACAGCAAGTGTTACAAAACACAACTGTATTTCAACTTTCAATTCTTGGGTCAGCAGATTCCAATGAACACAGACATCTACTCAAAACCTGGCATACTAAAATGGTCTTATCATAAATGCTGGGGAGGACCTGTTGCCTGTGAATATCACTATGTGTCTGGGATGAAACCTCCTTTATTCCCAGAGCACTTAGCAATGGCAGAGCCTGATGCCAAGCCAGGGTGAGTGGAACGGTGACCGTAGGCATGGTCAAAAAGTCTTCAGGCACAACGTGAAAATAGGGAAAGAGGGGCAAGGCAAAGGGATTGAGGGAGGAAGTTCCATAGCTTCAAGGAATATTGGGTGAAGGCATGGCTGCTGATGGTGAACGCGGAGGATTCGAGGAACAAGGAGGAAGCCAGAGCCTGTAAAGCGGAGGCAGCGGGTAGTGCTGTGAGGAGAGAGGTTGAAGAGATAGGGTGTATCAAGGCGAGGAAGGATTTAAACACTAGAGTGAGGATCTTGAATTCGATCCGCTCTGTGACAGGGAGCCAGTGGAGTTTGGCAAGGACTTGGGTAATCGGGGTGCGTAGTTTAGTGCGAGTGAGAATGTGGGAGGCGGAAGCGCTCCGAGAACGACCGGCACTAACTGCACACACATAAGCAAGGGAAACGTGCTTCAATGCCTCTGGAATGCCTTTTAATTTCCTTATACAATCATAATACTTGCATTTGATATAACATTTGTCACGTCATTGAGACGTCTCAAAGTTCTTCATGGGATATACTGTAAAACAATGTGACCGGGTGTGCTTTGTGGGCAAACATGGCAGTCAATTTGAATACACCAATGTATCACGCACAGCCACGGAGTGAGTGACCAATTGTATTTGGAAAATGTTGGCCAGGACACTGGGAGAAACTCACTTCTCTTTTCAAACACAACAACAAAATTACATTTGTAAAGCGCCTTTTACGTCAGGAGGACCGCTTAGTGCTATGGGATCTTTAACATCCCCCTGGAAAGCCAGACAGGACCTCAATTTAAGTTTTTTTCCGAAGTTGTGTCTGTCCTCCTTCCAAGACACTCCAACAGATCCTCCCAGTGGACAGGAGCTTGGTAACATGTGGGGAAAGGAGTGCTTGCTGTGCTAGCAGCTGATCGTTTGGTGCAGACAACCTCCCACCAAGTTGTTGAAGCCAGAAGATCAGCAGTGTTCCACCAGCCTCTCCAACTGGTTCCATGGATCAGACAGGGCGCTCGCTGCCTGTGTTCCTCTCCCCTTGGCAAACTGTGGCCCTGGTCAGCTTCACTGTTGGATCCACAGACACTTGGCCCACACTCCAGTCAGGCCTCATGTGCACCTAGACCCCACGACCATAACTAACATTTATTGAACTAAATGTGAAGAGATGGT